GAGCTCAAGAAGATGGCAGCCTCACTGACTAATCGCATCCACGAGCTGTCCCAAGAAGAAGAAGAAGAAGCAGATGATGCTTCCTTTGCTGCTGAATCAAGTCACCCAGTTAATTTATATGATGACTCTGTATTCCAAGATAGTCAAAACCCATACCAAGATCCTTTCAATTGAAGGTTGATATGGAAAAAGTCAAAATTGCTACAGTAAAAGTCAAAATCACTATTTCTACAGTAATTGTCTGCAGAATCACTATTTCTATAGTAACCCGACAAAGTACTGTTCATCTACAGTCAAAAGTAAAAAAGCAGCTTTTCCATAGCCACAAATCACACTGAAGAATCTCCTAACAGTGGCGAAGCTCGGCTATAAATGCAGAGGCCAATCCCTTTGCAAAGCAGGCTTCATTCGAGAGATTTCAGGCTTCATTACATTTTCTCAGCTTTAAATTATAATTTTTAGTTCAGTTTTATTTACCTTTTCTGAGAGTAATACATCATCAGTATGCTGTATTTATCAGACTACTATCAGTAATTTGTAAATTATTTTCAGTTATTCTCTGCGGTACTTATATTCAGTAATATAAGTTTGATTTCAGTTACATTTACTTTCTTTTATATATATATCTTGGTCGGTTATACACCACCTTTATTTTAATGCTTTATTTGTTTCTTCAACCCGTTTTTGGATAAAATTGTACTCAGAATATTAATTAGATTGGTTTTATTAAAAAGTAATGAAAAGGGTATTTTTGAGAAAAAAAATCATTCCATTCCAGATTTAACGATAGTTAACCAAACAATTGAATGCTAATAATCATTTCATTCCATAACGATTCACCATGTCACACCAAACATTAGAATGGTAATACTCATTCTATTTCATTCTCATTCTCATTCCAAGTTATATTTCATTTCATTCCTGCACACCAAACGTAGCCTTATAGAAGAAGAGAGAGGAATGAGAGAATTCGGAATTAGAGAAAAGGATTCTGAATTGGAGTACTTTGGAATGAACCCAATGAGGTTTTATATAGGCCTCATGGTGCCTTTTGGTTTTAATATTTTTCCGATGTGGGACAAACATTTCTCACATTTTATAAATTTATTTAGGTTTATCAAACACCATACTTTGGAGCTAATTTCTCATTCACTCGGAAACAGATCTGAGAAAGTAAATATACCACGTTAATCTACTTGCGGAGAGAAGCGCGCTCGTCTATAGATTCGCAAAAAAAATTTAACGAAATCTATTCAAAATCTCACCCAAAGTTTATGTTTTTAATGCCTCCATTTCCAACAGTTTCGATGCCCAGTGCAATAGTTAATCTAGGCCATGCAAAGCCTGATCCCATAACTGTATTTGTTTGTTTGTGCCTGTGCACCGATTCCTGTATCCTGATTGCTTATATATTTGAGATAACATTATTCTAGTTAATTTAGGTTGTTTTGGGAAATTCATTGTCATATCAATTAATAAAATAAAATAATAAAATAAAAAGGCGAAGATCATTCCAAAAAAAAGAAACCCACCAAATGAAAGTCCCATAACTGAACAGTCAAGTATTTGTAAAAAAAAATAAAAAATTCAAAGGTCAGAAGAGACCATAATGAATAGTAGTTGAGACAAATTTTACGAAAACGATGGAATTCAAATCCGCGGAGATTACTCAAGTCAAAGACCCGACCCGTATTCCTTCCAAGTTCGTGTTCAAAATGCGTGTTAAGAAGGATTTGAAGCTGAAAGATCAAAACCCCTTTAAGAAAAAAAAAAAAAAGAGTTGAACTAGTGACAGTGGAGCAACATGTGTAAGTTTGTGCTTAGTTAATTAGAGGATGCCTTAATCGATAAACTAGTTGTTAAACATAGTTGAACTAGGGTTAGGTAGAATTAATATTCAACTCAAAAGTTTAAGTTAGTAAATGAGACTAATACCCAACTTATATACTTATGCACTTTTTCATTCGTATCCGATGTGGGACAAATTTCCACCCGAAATCCCTAATTCTGTTATGTGTACATTTTTAATTTTAAATAAGAGAGAAAGTTATATATATATATATATATATATATATATATATATATATATATATATATATATTATTCTTTCTTTTCATATTTTAAATTTTAACAAAAAAACACAGGTCATATTGTCTTTATGTTATGTAAGAGGTTTCTCCTCATCAATGAGGAGGCAACCGAAATACTTAAATGTCCCCATGAAAAATATAATTTTTCAATTTCCACATGTAACATTTGATTTAACTTGATTTACAGTATTATCTTTAATGGATTGATCTAGAAAAATAAAAGTGATTTGCTTTGGTTTTTTTTTTTTTTTTTTTTTTTTCACGTCTTCCCAGTTCCTTAATATTTGTCTCACCACCGGGCATGCCAAAATATGTTTGTTTATAATACTTGAATTTCAATCGTAAACACAGGTGTACCAAAGCTAGCTTGCTAAGAACACAATGAAGAATACAAAATTCATTTTTATTTGGTTGTAAATGGCCAAGAAGATTAGGTAATTAAATGTCGAATTGAAGGAATAATATTCTTCTTAAGCTGATGTTTTTTTTTCCTAATTTTCTTAAGCTGGTTTTTCTACCTTGAAACAAGGATTTTATTAATGAAGAAATCTAAAGGGAAGGGAGCTGAGAGAGAACTAATGTAAAAAGTAAGTAGAGTTGTGTTGTTGCGGTGTGTGTAGAGAGAGGTCTTCAATTCTTTAGATTCTCTCTCTCTCTCTCTCTCTCTATATATATATATATATATATATATATATATATATATACACTTATTCTCCCGTTATTTCTGTCTTAAATTATATGTTTACAGTTCTGCATGCCAATTGGTCCAATCCTTTTTTATACAAAAAAATTATTAAATAGTTTTGGAACATTTGACACTGATAATTAATTCAATAAAAACGAAATTTATATGTAATATGTTAATACCTTTTGTACATGAGAAAAAATATTAATTTCTCATAATTAATAACAAACAAAAACTTAATCACAATTCACTTCTTTTTATTCCAATTCTTCTGTCATGAGTATACAAAAACACAACACAACCGAACGAAAAAAAAAAAAAATTATTGCAAATTGGTTTGTTCTTGTCTTATCTAGTCCAGTGGCCATTGTGCATGTTTATGAGGTTCTGTGCATGAGATTGTTATTAATGGCAGCTTGCAGGATTATTTATTTACCAAGTAGAACCATGAGCGCGCTGTGGGTATGGAGCAGGAAGAGGATGACGAGGTATAGTATGGCCGGCAAAGCCCTTCTGGCTGAGGGTGCTGGTGCTGGGAGTCTTGCTGGTGCCCGGGTTTGGTGCCGGAAGGACAACTGGACTTTTCTGCAGGGATTGCATCAAAAGATATTCATTTTTCATCAACCCTAACCCTACTGTCCCTTCATTCAGGACCCTACTAGCTTCGTATGGTTTGATGCTTAGAAGGAAAAGTAGTACCATAATGGCTACAACAATACTTGGATATTTCATCTTGGTGATAAGCGTATATGCAAAGAGTATAAAGTTGTCAGAACACAATTAATGGAGATTAGATGCTGGGAGAGGGGTGTATTTATATATGCATCAAGCAAACATGCAACTGGTATATATATATATATATATATATATATATATATATGACATTTGGAGTTGAAATATTTCATGGTTTTAACTTGATCAAAGGGCTTTGAATGTCGACTATGCAGCAGGGTTACTAATAAACTTGAATATAAATGGGTATTTTACGTTTGTATTGGGAAGTCCTAAAGTAAAAAATGCTTTTCAACGTTAATTTTTTGTTTTGGCAAGTATTCTCTCTCTTTAGGAAGGCGATTTGCCTAAATTCCTACATGTCTTATTTAATTTGGACAAATTTATACCACTCTCATTCCCGCGATCGGTTTTAATTTCACAATTCATACCCACCCCGATATGAGATACGTGTACCTGTGCCCGACCCGCCCAAGCCAGCCCCGTTTTCAAATTTTTTTTTTTTTTTTGTGGTTATCTAAATAAATAAATTGATAAAATCTATAAATTCTATACAATGAAAACAATGATATATATATAGTAAATAACATGAACACAATAATATGCATATATCTATAACATGGTGAGTTTGGATTTAGATATTAAACTCGTCGTAGGTTATGAGGTGGGTATATGTTTTGAGAAACATTTGTCCCGCCCGGCCCCGCTCTTTATTTTTAATATAATATAGATATTATATAGTAACATAATATATATATATATATATATATATATATATATATATATATATATATATATATATAGTAAATAACATGAACACAATAATGTGCATATTAAAAATAAAGAGCGGGGCCGAGCGGGACAAATGTTTCTCAAAACCCATACCCACCTCGTAACCTACGACGAGTTTAATATCTAAATCCAAACTCGCCTACATAAACAATTCTTATACTCGTACCATTAGGGCCAGTACAAAGCGGGGCTCTGGCGGGGCGGTACAAATTGCCATCCCTATTTCTCTTTATCTTCTTCTTTTATATATATATATTTATTTATATTTTAATTTCACCATAGATTTGCAAGCAATTTCTTGAACAATTCAGTTATTTCATAAAAAGAAATAGAACAAAAGAGAAGGGTGATATACATAGAGTGATGTACTAACATTGTCGATCCATTCCACCACATGAAATGATATTATTCACTTTGAATCCGAACCCGCACGATTTTTTTTTTAAGGTAAAAGGGTAAGCTTTGATAAATAAAAGGAGAATGTACAATAGGTCCATTAAGGACATTACAAGCCAAGGGTTATGACACAGGATCACCAAAGAAGATAACAGAATATGATACAGCACCTATACATTTTCTAATACACCACAACTGCTTTTCAAGAATGTAAATTGTTCCACTTAGCAATTTCAAATCTGTTTTCAATATCTCCTATTCTCAACAATCATATATTAGCATAATACCATCTAATCAATTAAGAATCAAGATTGACCATTTGCATACGAACAACCTTGAAGAAATAACTGGTGGAGAGCTTCAGGAGATCCAATCTTCCTAATTTCTGAACCAGACCTTAGTTTAAGGGATGAAAACCTTGCTCTGATGCAACCCTTGATTAGGTGGATGATGTGAATAGCTGAGGCTGCTTTGTTCCTGAATGCTCTTGCATTCCTCTCCTGCCAAATGAAGTAGATGGCACTTGAAAGAAGCAGCTTGTGTGTAATGAAATGGTTCTGTGTCCATGTTGCTGAGCACCATGAAATCAGATCTCTCCAATTTTTAGGATTGATGTAGAAGCCTGTAACATGCTGAATGAAATTCCAAATAAGGTTGTTGTATGGACATTTAAAAAATAAGTGGTCCACAGATTCTTCAGCTGATAGGCAAAGGTAACATGCATTAGTATAATGTTTCTTCTGCATTGGTTTAGTATCCAGTGTTACTAATCTCTCCTTGAGGGCAAGCCAAGCAATAAAACCATGCTTTGGGATGTGGTGTTTGAACCATATAAGCTGAACCCAAGCAAAAACCAAAGAATGAGCTGCAAAGTAATCCATAGTGAGTCTGTGAGAGTAATCCTTTGTTGAGCTTGGAAGCCATTCCACATGATCTGGATCAGTGGTTGGAAGGGACAAACTAATGAGCTGTGTATTGAAGTCTTGACTTTGGAAGAATGGGATATGATGTAGTGAGCTAGGGATGGTCCACTGATGGTTGGAAATTAGGCTATCAATTATGATTTGGGGATCCAGTTGAAGAATTTCCACATCAGTGAAGCCAAGTTGAATTGCAATGGGACCATTCAGGAGCCAGTAGTCATTCCATAAGCTTGTGCTCTGCCCAGCTCCAACCCTGTGCTTAACCAAGCCTCTTGCCATACTCCTCAACTAAAGCAACCTTCACCAAAATCCTGAACTGTTGGAAGAAGCTTTGACAGTCCAAATGGATTTGTTTTTAATGAGGTACCTGTAGGTTCATGCCACCCATAGACTATCCTTTTTAGAACACAGGCTCCACAAGTGCTTGAGACTTGACACTCTATTTGTGAGCTCAAGGCAAGGAAACCCAAGACCACCAAACCTTTTTGGCCTGCAGATGGCTGTCCAAGCAACTTTAGCACCAGTCTTCTTGAGATCAGTTCCAGAGCAAAAGAAACATCTCAAAATTTGATTGATTTGATCAATAACTTTCATGGGGAGGATGAAGGCTTGAGTCCAGTAAGCTTGGATGGAGAAGATGATAGATTTAATGAGTAGTGCCCTTCTTGCATATAAGAGAAATCTTGAAGTCCATTGGCTAATTCTGGTTGTGATCTTCTGGACTAGAATCTGGCAATCATTGGCATTGAGAGCTGCAAAAGATAGTGGTAACCCAAGGTATGTGATTGGTAGGTTACCAATCTCAAATTGCAGTAAGGAGGCAATGTTGTTCATTGTGTGTTGATCAACACCTGCAAAGAATGCTTGGCCCTTGGAACAATTAATGGAGAGTCCAGAGAAGGTTATGAAATTACTCAGTGCAGTGTGAAGCACTCCCACAGAAGATAAGTCACCATAAGATAACAGCATAATGTCATCAGCAAATGCTAAATGGAAAAAGGAAAGTTTACTACATCTCCAATGGTACTTGAAACTATTGCTTTGGGAGATGGCCATGTTAAGTGACAAAGTTAAAACCTCCATGGCAAGTACAAAAAGTTGGGGGGAAATGGGATTACCTTGTCTAACCCCCCCTTTTACCTTTGAAAAACCCACATAGCTGTCCATTGAGTGAAATGGTATATGAAGGTATGGTTATACATTGTGAAACCCAGTGTATAAAAAGCTGTGGGAAACCAAAGAGTTGTAGAGTATCAAGGATAAATTGCCAATGGATGGTGTCAAATGCCTTTCTAAGATCAATTTTGAGGGGACAGGAAGGGAGATGTGGTGATTTATGATAACCATTAAGCAATTCATGAGCGAGAAGGATGTTATCTGTGATGTGTCTTTGTTTTACAAAAACAGATTGGATAATGCTTATGATTGAAGGTAAGACAAGGCTTAGTTTGTTGGCAATGAGTTTAGAGATGGCTTTGTAGATTAGGTTACAACAGGATATTGGCCTATAGTTATTGACAGTGGTGGGATTAGGGACTTTGGGAACAAATGCAATGTAAGAGCAATTGATTTCAGCAAGCATTCTTCCTGAGATGAAAAAATCCTTGATTGCAGCTATGATTTCTTGGCCAATGATAGGCCAAGCATGAGAGAAGAAACATGAGTTAAAGCCATCAGGACCAGGGCTTTTATAAGGATTGATGGATAGAATGCTTTGCTGGATTTCCAAATCTGTGGGTATGTCAGTGAGTGAAGGGATGAGGTTGGCAGGAACAGATTTGGAAATAAGATTGGAAAAGGATGACATACCTGGATAATAATTGTAGCTCTGTCCCAGCAAGTTCTGAAAGTGATTAAGGAATGCATTCTGAAGATCAATCCCCTGCAACACTTCTCCATTATGGTCCTCAATTGAGACAGTCTTCCTTTTGTTAACCTTTGAAGAGAAGCACTTCATAAAGTAAGCTGTGTTCTGGTCACCCACTCTAAGCCAATGAACCTGAGCTTTCTGTTTAAAAAACATCTCTTCAGCCAAGCATAAATCAGCATATCTCTTTGCAATCTCTTTCTCATTAATTTTCAGCATGTCATCTGCAGGGTTTTGGTCAAGGCATGTTTGACATTGTGCAAGCTCCTCTTTACATGCTGCAACCTTCAATGAAATATCACCATAATCATTTCTATTCAGTATTTTCAATGGGTGTTTGAGAGCTCTCAATTTCTGAACCACACAAAACATTTTTGTGCCCTGGACTTACAGCTACCAGCCTTGTTGAACAATACCAAGAAATTTGTCACTTGCAGCCCAGAAGTTGAAAAATCTAAAGGGGAGGTTCTTCTTTAGAGCAATTAAACCAAGTTTAACCACCATTGGCGAGTGGTCAGATATGCCATAGGGAAGGAAATCAACTGAGGATTGTGGGAACATGCTCATCCAATCTTGGTTGACAAGCACTCTATCAAGTTTCTTTGAGGTTTTAGCTGCTCCAAGGCTGCTATTAGTCCATGAAAAGAATATTCCAGTGTATCATAGGTCTTCAAGCTCATTTCTAAAAACACAGTTTTTAAAATCCTCCATCCCCTTAAACCACCTTGGTGCACCACCAAAAGCTTCATTAATACTGAGGGTAACATTAAAGTCGCCCATAAGGATCCAAGGGACACCAGGTTCATTGTACTGCCTGAGGCTCCTCCACAGATGCAACCTCTCTGTGTGTGTATTAGCAGCATAAACCAATGATACAAGACATCTAACTTTAAGGTCGTTCAACCACACAACACAATTGAGCACTTAACTGCTCTCAGACATAACAATAAGAGACATGACAAGTGGATTCCATAGTACCCACACTCTTCCCATTGTTGAAGAAAGGTAGTTACATCTAATGTTCCAATTAGGGGCAATAAACTTGTGAATTGTGTTCATATTGAGTGTACAAACTTTTGTTTCCAGTATTGCAACCATGCTTAAACTAGAATCCTTAATCAAATTTTTCACCTCTACTTGTTTGGGGTGAGAGTTCAACCCCCTAATATTCCATGCTGCCCAATTCATTGAGAGGAGCTAGTGAGCTTGCATAACCCCCTAAACCCTTTGAGAGTAGACACATTAGACAACTTTGGCTTAATGATCTTTGGCTTCTTTCCTGTCTTGGAATGTTTACCAAGAGAAGGTTTCCTGGTTTTCAGGGCTTTGTTGACAATTGGAGAGTATGATGGATCATAAGAGTCTTGGTTGGATGCATCTTCATCTTCTGAAATATCATCACCATTGATAGCACAAACATCCTCTCCACTTGCATTTTCAGCAAATTGCAAGGTAGCAAAATTGTTGGATATGGGGATGGAGGCTGGAGGAAGTGCAACCTCTCTTTCAATTGTCAAATTATGGCAAGTTAGGTCTACAACTAGGTCCAGTGCTTTGAATTGCATAGCTTGTGGAAGATCAACAAGGGAGCGATCAGGCAGACAAAAATTTGCCACTATATTAGTGGTGGTAGTTTCTGTGGGAAGGATTTCTAATTCAGGCATGCACACATTGCTTTTTGCCTTGATTGGATGCGGTCTGGAGGAGGAAGCTTCATGCTGGGGTGTGTGGGAAGTTGATTGACCAAAAGGATTTGGGATAGCAGTGCAACTAGATTTCTTTTTTTTCCTACTTGCAACAGTTCTCTACTCTTGTTCACAAGAGACCTTGTCATTGGTGATGGGATTGGTAATTTCAGGGACAATGTTTGTGGAGGAGTGGGCACATTGGCCACTTGTGTGTCCAAATGATTCACAATTGGTACACACCTCTGGTAACCGTTGATAGACAGCCTTGACTTCCTCTAATTTGTTTCCTTTTGATCTAACATGGAAGGTTTCAGGTAGGGGTGAGAGGGGTGTGATTTCAACACAAACCATTGCAAAATCAATTCTATCAATGTTTTGAGTATTCGTATCAGCAAATAGAGGTTTTCCAATAGCACTTGCAATGTAACTTAGACCCTTGGGTGACCAGTAGTTGAGTGGGACATTGTAAAATTTGACCCAAATGGAAGCAAATTTTGCTGATTCAATTGCAATTGATGTAGTTTCCTTGTGCCAGAGCTTAAGAGAAATAGGCATACCTGCGAATTTCCATTGTCTCCCACCAAGGACCTTCCTGCAGTTGTCAAGTGAATCAAATTTGAAGAAGTATGTGCCCTCCTTGTTAACAATGACCTTTTGTAGACCCTTTTGAGTCCCAAATTTTGCGGGCAATTCTTGAGATCAACTTGAATGGCATTCTTTTGGAGAAACTACCAAGAAGGCACTCATTCCAGAAGCTGTCACCATCTTCAAAGATGCTTTCTGGAGGCTCAACAATCACACCGTTATTTTGGATAAGGGGTTTGAAGTACTCAAAGCTCCATTTTGCTTTTGTGATTGAGCCACAAAGGCCCAGATGTCTGCTTTGTGGTTGGTTTCATCATCTTTGGTGTTTTCATGGGGTATCAGGGGCTAGTTAGTGGTTCGGTTCTTTGGTTGGTTATGTTGGGATGAGGGTTGGTTACATTGGAACGAGAAGGAAGAGGATTTGGTTAAGTTGGGATTGGGGTTATCTTGGTTACTGTGTTCCAGCAGCAGTGGAGTGTTGACTTGGTTAAGCTGGTGAATTACAGTGAGTGTAGGCTGCAATGAAGTGAGTGTAGGCTGTGACGTAGGCATCTGCTCAAGCATGTGGTTGGATACTGTTACTTCCAAATTCAAATTTGAATTGGCTTGTGAATTACCAGGGGTACCCCTGACTGAGCTGGTGGAGGCGCGTGAGTTACATTATGGCCAACGTTGTGGGGTGACGACGGAGGCGGTTCAAGCATCAAGGGTACATTAACTGCAGATGGGGCCGAATGAATTCCTGTTTCTTTCAGGCATAATGAATGCTGGTATGGAGTTAATGCTTTGGCCATGGTTGCATGACTCAGTTGGATGGCAGCATTAGAAATGTTTTCTTGTGACTCATGATCAGTGATTTCTGGCACCATCCCACGACCATCAATCAGCGCAGCCACCTGCGATTTTAACAAAGCTTGCAGCTTAACAATTTCCAACTCCTTCGCTTGCAGGGTAGACCTGAGTTTCGTAACTTCCTCAATGAGTTGAAACCTTGTAGCATCCATAATACCTGCATCAATGCCATCAGGAAGAAGGACGACATCGTTGATCTTAAGACCTTTGGGGTTCAAGAACCTATCATTTTGCAGCGCACACCTTACTTTTTCTTTAGTAGCTCCCGTAACTGTAGGTGGACGTGG